AAGCTGTCTTTCTCTTTAGCATTGTGTATTTCTCTCCTTCCGTTCATCAGTTCCGCCTACAGGAACAAAAGCCGTGCTGCTGGTTCACGTTCAGCAGGTTGGATGATTTCTTGTTGGGCAAGAAGGAGGTCAGCTGCGGACTCCCTGTAATAGTGCCAAAGTGAACAGTGATGGGGAACACATAGAACGATCTAGAACCTGGAGAAGTGGGTCATTTTATGGATGATGGGCTTGACGACGAGGATGGGGAAGGCATAGGTGAAGATGCTGGTGCTATTCAGAGACCAGGATTAATGGCTTCAGCTTGACCTCATCACCACCTTCTTTTCCTCCCTAATGCCAGGCAGCCTCCCAGGTCAACAGTTAGGCTTGAAAACTGCCAGCTGGAAAGAAGGGCTTGACTTTAGGAAAATATTTTAAACAGTAGTGCAATTAAAAAGTATATGTGTATAAAACCTTTTAATTATCATGTAAGAGCTTTTGTTTTTCCCTTTAAGCTCATACATATGAATATTGTAAGCACAAATGGATTACTAATTGTATGCTTTAAAAAAAAGGACTAACTGAACATAGTGTAATGATTTTGGTCTTCCAGGTTTTATTCATTTCAGATATATTAGTGGGTCTTATTTCTTTAAAGAGCTGCTTCTTGTATAAATTTCTATAGTTAGTAGCTTAGCTGTTCAATGGGTAACTTAATATATTATCTGTTTTCTATGAATTATTCTCAGAGTTTTAAATGGATGATCTCGTAGTTTTTAGTAAAGAATGTTATTTACCTAAACTATGCTAGTAGCATCTTGTCCCGCCAGAAACTTACCAATAATCTCAATTTTATTGCATAAAGGAAACCTATTTTAAGGGGATGTATTCCATCAATCAGAATTAGCACCATAAAGAAAAAGCAGCTCTTTAGTGGAATTAACAGTGCTATAAAGTGTTTTATACAGGCAGTATAAAGGGAGTACTTTTATAAAATCAGAAATACTGGAAATCATTCTTCATTACAAGAAAAGAGAACAGACCAGTAACTCTGATGAACACAGACGCAAACATTTTAAATAAGGTTTTGGCAAATAGAATCCACAATATATAAAAAGGATAATACATCATGACCAAGTGAGGTTTATCGTAGAAATGAAGGCTGTCTCTATCTCAACAGACTTGCAGAAGGAAAAAAAACACATGATCACATCAGTAGAATAATGAAAGGCACTTGGCAAAATCAGACCATTTATAGTTTAAAAATCTAAGCAAAATATGAATAAAAAGAACTATGCATATCCTGATAAGGAGTATCTACAAACAAAAATCTACAGCTGCGATCACTCTTCACGGTGAAAGATCAGATGTTGTCCCCTTAAGATTAGAAAGTGCGCAAGAGTGTCCATTCTTGCTACTCCTGCTCCAAAATCACACTGGAGTCCCACCTAGTGCAATCAGGCAAGAAAAAATTAATAAAACACATACAGATTGGAGAGAAAGAAGTAAAACTTTACATCTCTGTTCACATCTGACTGTGATTTATGTGGGAAATCTAATGGAATCCACAAAAAAGCTGCTAAAAGTAATATGAGTTCAACAAGGTTGCAAGACGCCAAGTCAGTATATAGAAATCAATTGTATGTCTCTATGCTCACAATGAACAATTGGAAATGGAAAGTAAAAAATTTTATTTATAATGCCACTAAAAATCATTTTTAAAAAGTATAAATCTAATAAAGTAAGTGCAAAATCCATACCCTGAAAATAATAGAATGAAAGAAATCAGGGACCTAAATAAATGGGGAGATATACCATGTTCATGGATTAGAAGATTCATTATTGTGAAGGTGTCAGGTTTTTTTTTTCAAACTGATTCATAAGTTCAGTGTTATCCCATTCATAGTCCTGGCGGGAAGTTTTGTGTTTATTTTGTTTATTTATTAGAGATGACAAGATGATTCTAAAATGTTTATGTACAGGCAGGAGAACTAGAATTTTGGAAAAGAAAAAAATTGGAGGACCCACAGTAACTGACTTCAAAGCTTACTGTAAAAGTACAGTAATCAAGACAGTTTCCACAAAGGCACCAAGGCATTTCAATGGAAAAAGGATGGTCTTTCCCAATAAATGATGTTGAAACAATTGGATATTGTATGCAAAAAAAAAAAGAAGACAAAGAAGAAGAACTTTGATGACTTCCAGAGAAGATGGCACATGAGCTGGGTTTAAAGTCCAGGTACATTTAAATACAGGCCTTGCATACCCTGCCTGGTTGTAGACAGCTGATGCAGCCTATTTAATACATACCTATTTCAGAAGCTGCCTCTCTGCTTAAAAAAAAATTTTTTAAAGAACCTTGATTCATACCTTACTCCATATGGAAAAATTAATTTAACTGAGAACATTAACCATAAAGTAACTAAAACTAAAGTAAGCTAAAACTGTGAACCTTAAACCATAAAACTTCTAAAAGAAAATATAGGAGAAAATCTTTGTGACCTTCGATTAGCCAGCAGAATAATTCACTTGAAAAAAATCTGGTAAATTGGACTGCATCAAAATTAAGAACTTTGGCTCCTCAAAAGTCATTCTTAAAAAAAAAATGAAAAGACAAACCACAGACTAGGATAAGTTGTTTGAATATTACATGTCTGGCAATGAATTGTGTCAGAAATATATACGAGCTCTAAAAACTCAGTAAGAAGACAACTGGGTGGGGAGGTGGGTGTAGCTTAAGTGGTACAGCGCATGCTTAGCATGCATGAGGTCCTGGGTTCAATCCCCAGTACCTCCATTCAAATAAATAAGTAAATAAACTAATTACTCCCCACCTCCAAAAAAAAAAACTAAAAAAAAATCAAAAAATTCAAAACAGTATTGCTGTTCTAAGGTACACTTTGGAAAAAAACAGTTGGGCAATTTCTCATCAGGTTAAGCCTACACTTGCCGTATGACCCAGCAAACTCATACCCAGGCACTTACCCAAGTTAACTGCGAACTGTGCTTACGCAAAAGCTAGGACATGACTCTCTATAGCAGCTTTATTCATAATTGAGTGAATTATGAATTCGTTTGAACTGGAAGCATCAGAAATGTTCTTCAGTTGCCAAACAGGTAAACAAACCAGTATATGCATACAATGAACTACCACTCGGTAATAAAAAGAAAGAAATTATTGATATGTACAACATAGGTGAAAAATGCATTGTGTTAAGTGGAAGCCTGACTCTAAACACTACGTATTTGTGTGATTGCATTTACATGGCGTTCTAGACAAGGCAAAACTTGGGATGGTAAAAAAAAAAAAAAACAGTGGTTGCCTGGGGTGGGCAGGAGCTGACCACAGAAGGGAACAGGTAATTTTGGAAGCGGTGTCTTGATTGTGGTAGTTATATGACTGTATGTTGGTCAGAACTCATAGAACTGTACACTAAAAAGGGCGGATTTTAGTATATGCAAAAAAAAAAAAAAAACCTAGCTGATAGCATCAGGGAAGTCTTCACAGAGTGTAAGATGCCCCGGTCTTGAAAGCTTGGAAGGCGTCCTTTCATGAACAGCAGGGAGAAGCTTGTTCCAGGCAAGGTGCACAGGATTTGCAAAGACTTAGAGGGAGCAAACAGTCCTGGGTGTTCTGCACACTTTCAAGTTGTTTGGAAGATCAGGAGCCTAAAGTCACACAGCGTGGGAGGCGGCCTGAGGGCGGTGCTGGGGAAGCAGGCTGGAGCCAAGTTCTGGAAGGCCTGCCTCATGTGTTTGGTAAAGAATGCAGGCTTGGATTTTTTTTCCCCCTTTAGTTGGTGTCTTACAGTTTGAGCGGCTGCAATGAAGCACTGCAGAGGTTTCTCTCCCACAGTTCAGAGGCTGGAAGTCTGAGATCAAGCTGGGATCTGCTAAGAGCCCCCCGTCTGGGCTGGAAACTGCCATTTACCGTGTTCTCCGTGGGCGGAGAGCAGACAGAGGAAGCGAGCTCTCTCGTGACTTTGAGAAAGGCATGCCCCCACTCATGACCTCACCGCATCCTAATTATCTCCCAAAGGCCTCACCCCCTAATGCCACCACATAAGGGGCCAAGGTTCCCACATAGAGCATCCTTCAGTCCATAACAGTGGGGAAAACGGAGGTCTTTGACCAGCAGAGGGACCTAGTTTTCACCTGAAGCATCTGCTCCTGCAGGCCTGTGGATGACGCACTGGAAGGGTGAGCGCAGAAGTAGGGAGACCACATCGTCAGGCAGGAGGCAGAGAACTGCTGGGCCAAGACCCGAGCAGTGGACACAGGAAGAGGGGCGGCCTCAGTGGCTAATGGTGACACCCAGATGACAAAGATGAAGGCAAGGGGGCGTCGAGAGGGACATTCCCGTTTCCGTGCTTGGAAACCTCCAAGAACTGCGTTTGAGGGATGTGTAGATGGTTTTTATCCATTTGGACTATACTGAGTTGCCATATGGTTTTTAAGAGTTGGCTTGATTTTTCATTCTATTTGCCTCCAGCCGTGTACCCCAATAATGAGTAAGCTGCCTCAGTAGGGTGGGGGTGACACTGCACTGGTGAGAACCCAGAAAGCCATGGGGGGGTGCTGAGTAGAGTGACAGCTCCTGCTTTGCCCGAGTGTCGTGTCTCCCCGCATCTCACCGAGCAGCTGTGGCCTCCCAGCTGCATCAGAGTCACACATCCACTGGAGGGGGGATGCTAGAAAGACAGAGGTGCCAGACTAGGGCCAGGCGTGGCTTAAAGGGGTCGCTGTGGTGACTGGAGAGATGGCAGAAGTGGAGAGCCCAATGCAAGGCGCCTCTTCCGTGGATGACACGGGTCAGAGCAGCTGTAGGAATGTCCTGGGGGAGCTGACTTCTCAGGGAGTGTCTTATCCGCCCTTCCATGCTGCGGCTGCGGCTGCTTCTGTGCTCTGGGATGGCTTCTCGCCTCGCCTCTCTGGACCCTGGCTGGTCCTGCCGATGCGTCTCTTGTTTTGCCTGGACCGTTTATTTCTAAACCCCGCCTTGGTCGCTTGTGTTTCAGCCGGAGAAGAAGTTCGGCGTGGTGGTCGTCGGCGTTGGCAGAGCCGGCTCCGTGCGGATCCGGGACTTGCGGAATCCACACGCTTCCTCCGCGTTCCTGAACCTGATTGGCTTCGTGTCCAGGTGAATCACGTTTGCTCTGTGCCTTATCGTTCCCAGGAGGCCCAGGGAGATGGGCCAGGCGTCGGCGCACAGCGATTCTCCAGAGCTAGGAGAGAGCCAGCCAGCTCCGGGGTCATTCCAGAGAACCGTGCAGGCTCAGCCCCACAAGATCTCAAGTTCAGACGAGTCTGGGGACTAAACAGGGCTGGGCCTGCCACTGCGGTGTGCAGCGGGTCAGCCTTGAGGGGACAGTGAAGGCAGAGGCAGGCAAGATGGGCACAGGGCTCGACAGGGACAGGAGGGGGCCCAGCGAACCCACGTGGGTTGCCCTGAAAGAAGGCTCTAGGTGTGTTTCACCCGTTACCATGACAGCCGTCCCTGCAGGGCTCTGCGCTTTACAAGCATGACCAACTCTTGGATCCGTGCCCACTTCACAACCTCTTTACAGGTAAAGAAGCTGAGCCAGAGAGAGTGAGTAATTTGCCTTAGGCCACACAGCTGGAAGCAGACTTCCGTGCGGGTCTATTTGATTCCAAAGCCCATCTTTTAAACACTGTGTCTACATTCCCCCTTTGATAATTTTGAGCCCCGCTTTCAAGGATTCATTGATCTCCTGTAACTCAGCCAAAACCAGGCTTCTTACTGCATTTCTTCACCCGTGCCCCACCCTCAGCGGCTCCCTCCATCTCCCACCCCTTCCTCACACACACACACACACCAGTCAGCAAACTAACGCCACGTAACATCATTTATCAGTAGGGGTTGTGAACTAGACGAGGGCCCTGTGTCGGCCAAGGTGATGTGGAGAGCAACTCAGGCATGTCTCTGCTTACTAGTGCTTAAGCGAAATCAGCGAAGAACTTACAAAGCATAGGTCATTATTGTGATGGTCCATGTAGAAGTTCTTTCAGATTTTAATTGACGGGCCCTGCTTTCTTCCAGTTTGCCTGTCTCAAAACCTGGTCCTGCCTGAAGGATTTAAAGTAGATGTGGGGGCACTAAGGAGACCCTTTGGGCAGTCTTCCCCTCCCAGAAAGATTCTAAGGGAGCTGCACGAATGGGAGCCTGACATCCCGATTAGCCAGCCCCGTTCCTCCTACTGCATCCTACCTGTGGCGGGGGGCCCCTTCAGGCTGGCTGCCGTGACTGCGGCAGTGGGCCCCCCCGACTTGCCCGCGGCACGTGGGAGGATGGCCAGCTCGTCCCCCCTGCTCTCCTGCACCCCTGCCCTAATCACGCTGTTCCCCACCTCACGTGCCCTGTTCCTCACGATCTACCTGCCAAGTCCTGTCACCTCCCCAGCAAGCCTTTCCTGAAACCCTGAACTGGGTGTTCTTGCCTTCCTCGAATCTCCCACCTGTACCCTTGGCACAGCGTTTCTCCTGTTAGTCTTGTGTTGTTGTTACATGTATATGTGTAACTATGTCTTCCTCCCTCTACCAGACTGAGCTCATTGGAAGCTGAGGACTTTAATCCACTTTAATCCATCATCTTTCCTACATCGCTTGCGCACAGGAGGCAAGCAACATGTATCGGTCAGATCGAGCAGCGTAGATGGGTGGTCCCCATAGGAAGAGACTTACCCATAAATAATGTCCTTTGGTGGCCAAACGTCCCCAGATGCCCTCTGGCTGCTGCAGTTCGGGTGGAGCCTCCTGCTGGCCGCCCCGTTTCCTCTGTGACAGTCCCCTTGGTGGCCTGCCCCTCTGCTCCAACCCCTGCACTGGGGCAGTGTGCACATGGCTCCTCCATCTGCATTTGTCGGAAGGCGCAGGGCTTCTGTCCTGCCTCTGCTCCTGGTTAGTCGTGGACCCACTGCCTCTCTGGGCTTTGTCAGCTCAGCTGTAAAGGAGGCAGTGACACCCCCCTTCCACGTGACCGTCACAAGGCTGTGGTGTATGTGAAGGAGCTGGAAGTCACAGAGCAGTTTGTCCCTCAAAAGTGTTAGTGTCTTGGATTTGCGTTAGGTTTGGAAGTCATGGTGCTTGGCCAAGTGTTTGACCACAGAGACCACTTCTCATGAGATAACAGGAGATCAGTTTCTTTTGTTTTAGAGATGAAGGAATCCAGACTCCCATGTCCAACAGGCTGTTAGCAGCAGTGTCACACTTGATGCCAGGTCCCCAGCTTCACCCCCGAGGCTGTGTTTCTCACTCCATGCTGGAAAATGCCCTGCAAATGGGAAGGAGGAAATTCGTATCTTCATTTCCAAAAGCTGGTCACTGGGGCATTGTTGGGAGCTGGGGAGAAGGACGGTGCTCACTTATTCTCAGCTGAAGTTCTGCCTACTTTGAGTTCCCCTTGTCTGTTCTGCTCCAATAGACGAGAGCTGGGGAGCATCGAGGGAGTGCAGCAGATTTCTCTGGAAGATGCTCTTTCCAGCCAAGAGGTTGAGGTGGCTTATATCTGCAGTGAGAGCTCCAGCCACGAGGACTACATCAGGTGGGCGTCCAGGGCAGGCAGTCCCGGCTGTGCACGGTGGTGCAGGACTATGGACGTGCTCGGGCAGGCTATCATTTTTGCAGGGGTGGGGGTGTGGGAGTCTTAATAATCAATGGGAAAAAATTACAATGGATCCATGACCTTTAAAAATTGTCTTTTAAGAGTTTTATCAGTGAAACTAATGATTATTTATTTGCATGATGCATCCTAGGACTTTTCTCTCATTGGTGCAATTAAAGGTATTCAAAGAAAAAAAATTATCTTTAAAATGTTACCCCTCACAGGGGTGGGTATAGCTCAGTGGTAGAGCACATGTGTGGTCCTGGGTTCAATCCCCAGTCCCTCCATTAAAAAAAAAATATTACCCTTCACTATTGGTTGTAAATGTATAACAAAATGAAAAATAGGGTAGAACTAATATTTATTTAGTACACTGTAATTTAAAACATTGGGAAGATTAAGAATGAAAGTATTTTACTTCTTTGTAAAAAATTTATTGAGGATAGTTTAGACGGTGCCCGCCTTCTCATCTTATAACTTAAGATACGGAGCCAACATCTTTTCTGTGCCTTAGAGAACTGCCGTAGTCCTGTCAGCTTCCAGCATTTTATCCTTTGTCCTTTCAACATCGTGAAATATCGCCAAGAATATCTCTGAGGGTTCCTTTAATGTGAAGTGGATTTGCGTGAGAGAAGAAAGGAAGTAATGGAGACATCAGAAAGGGGAGATCCTATGGTTCATAGAGCAAGAGGAGTGAAGTGTTCCCCTGCTCCAGCTTTGAATGCAAAGCCTGGAGCCCTTGAAGCAGTTGGTGGGGCTGAGCCAGGAAGGAGGAGCCCCACGTGGGACCTGGCGGCCAACAAGGCAGTGCCGGCCACCCCCTGAATCTCAGCCTCCTTTTGGGTTCTGACATTAAATTGCAGCTGCTTCCCCGTGCCTTTGCCCGGGAGTCAGTGGCTCCCCTTTTACCACACCCACTTTCAGCATGGACACAAACACCTTTCTTGGGGTCCCCTTCACCTTCTTTGGCACTAGAGTGTGTTTCCTTAAAAAAGTGATCATGTCATTCCCACGCTTATCAAGGGGTGTTCCCTAGAATATCTAGAGACTAAAAGCCAAACTCCAGAGCGCAGCATTCTGGGTCCTTCACAGGTACTTTCATGATATCATCTCCCCCAACTCCTCATAGCCCGCCCCGCTGCCATGCTGAAATTCACACCATGTCCCCGTGGACAAAGCCGCATAAAACACCCAGGCCCCCAAATTTACAGCTCAAAGTGAGACATCCTCATCCCCGACACCCGGACGATGCCTGTTCCCACTTTGAGACCCACTTTTCAGGCCGCCTCAGGCGGAGCTGGCTGCTCTTGTCTTTATTTATAGCTGTCATGCGGGCATAGGCAATTTACCTGTTAATATGGCTGTATTCCTCCTCCGGAGTAACCGGTAAATAGTACCTACATGAATACATGGGTGGCTGAGTGGGTGAATCTTCAAATGTTCACATAACTAGAAAGCCTTTATCTTACTGCTTAGCAGAAAATGACGCGAGGTACAGTATGGCTTTACCCTCCAGCCCTGACTCTCAGTCTCATTCCATCATGACACATTGCCATGCAGGTTTTTGTGCATTGATGACCTTCTGTTCTCTGTCCCACAGGGCACTTAAATGAAGCTTATTTAAAGTGCATTTTCTCTGCATTTCTCTCTTTTTCCCAAAGGCAGTTCCTTAATGCTGGCAAGCATGTCCTTGTGGAATATCCTATGACACTGTCTTGGGCAGCAGCTAAGGACCTGTGGGAGCTGGCTGAGCAGAAAGGTGACGTACGTTCCATGCATCCAGAGCACAGACCCTCTTCCTAAGAGTTTCTGCCTCTGAGATTTCTGTGGTACCATCTTTATGCCTTTAAAACTTAACCGCATGTCAGATATGTTACTGGTCCCATGGGCTCCCAACCCCCACCATACTGTAGGCACATATAAGGGATGGGGGGTGTGGAGGGCAGAGGAATGGGTAGGAGTTTGCAAACTTTTGTTCAAGACTTATCAGCTTCTCTGACTAAGGAAAAATATGAATTAGCTTCCACCTATGCTAGTGTCATATTATTTTGGTTTTATTCATATATTTACATTGCTATTGGAAAAATGCCCAGGTCAGAATAATTGATTGTATGTGCATACTTTGTAGTCTTGGTTGTTCTCAAGAGGAGTACCATTTATTAAATATTTATTACATGCTAGGAACTTGGAAACTCTGCGAAACACTTCATATTTTACTTAATTCCCTTAGAAATCCTTGGAGGTAGGTATTTCCCCTAGTTTATGTATGGGAATCCGTAGCTTAAAGAGTTAAAAAAATTTGTGCCTGATCACAAAGCTAAGTAACATGACTACAAAATGGGAGGCGGAGGTTTGATTGCGATCTTTTTGGGCTCTGAGGTCCACGTTTGTTTCTCTGAGCCATGCTGCCCTCCGGAGATTTTTATGTTTTTACAGTAATTGGACAAGTCCCTCTATGGAGGCAACTAGAACTGACTAGAATGTGTAGGGATTAAAGGAGCTAGTTAAATGAAGTTTAAGTCACAAACTCTGTTTCAACATTTGCTATTTAAAATCTTCAGTGTATGAGCAAAGTATGGTGAACAGTTACAGTGAAAATCAGCAAAGAAAGCACCTTGTCCTCATCACCAGTGTAGACGGATCACACTATCAAAACTCTTGATTGCCTTTCTCTAGTACTGAGCTGTTCTGCTGGAGGGCAGAGCCCATCTTTCCTCTCTGTAGTCCAGCAGCTAAACCTAAACACTGCCTAGAACTTCGTAGGCCTTCAGTAGGTGCTCATGAATGAAAAGATGGATGAATGACTATTGAACAAGATTTGGGAGCTTTGGGGCCATCAACTTTGTATAATATTTCTCATGGTAAAAATGTCCGTGGACAGAGTACAAGACGCCAAAGATTTCTTGCTAATTGTAAAGGTTGTCGCAGACCTTCAATTTGTAAAAAATGCAGTATTTGCCCAGTGCAGTAAAGCAAAGTGCGATGAAACGAGGTATCCCTGTAAATGATCACAAGGAATACAAAGAAGCAGGGAAACACAGGCCACTCAAAGGTATGAAATGAATCTCCAGAAACCAACCCTAAAGAAATGTAGATCTAGGAATTACCAAAATAACTGTTTCAAAGATGCTCAGTCAGCTAAAAGAAAACACAGACAAACAAATGAAGTTAGGAAAACAGTGCATGAACAAAGGTAAATTCTATCAGCAAAGAAATGTAAATTATAGAAGAGAACCAAATGAATTCTGAGGCTGAGGAATAAAATAACTGAATTGGAAAATTCCCAAAGAAGGGCTCAGCAGCAAATTTGATCAAGCAGAAGAAAGAATTGGCAAACTTGAAGATGGATCATTTGAAATTTGAGTCAAAGGAGCAAAAAGGAAAAAGAATGAAGAAAGCTTAAGGGACTTAGAGGACACCATCAAGTAGATGAATGTATATATTATGCAAGTCACAGAAGGAGATGAGAGCGAGAACGGGATAGAGAGCTGATCTGAAGAAATTATGGCTGAAAAATTCTAAATTTGGAGAAAGAAATGGAATACAAATTCACGACACTCAATGAACTCCAAGTAGAATAAATCCAGAGAGCCACACCAAGACATATAATGATCACACTGCCAGAAGTCACAGATAAAGGCAGAATCTTGAGAAAAGTGACTCATTATGCACAAAGGAGCTCCTAGAAGATCATCAGCAGAATTCTCAGCAAAAACCTTGCAGGCAAGAAGGGAATAGGATGGTATATTCAAAGTGTTGAAAGTGCCAACCGAGAATACTATATCCAACAAAACTGTCCTTCAGAAATGAAGGTGAAATTAAGACTTTGTCATACAAGCAAAAGCAGAGGGAGTTAATCACTACTAGACCTTGATAATGGAGTCCTTCAGATTGAAACAAAGGGATGCTAGATAGCAACATGAAATAAAAGGCTCTCTGGTAAAGGTAAATATAAAGATAAATATAGAATCCTGTGGTATTTTGTTGGCACATCAATCACTTTAAATTCTGATATAGAATTAAAAAGACAAAGCATAAAAATAACTATAAATCTATGTTAATGGATATATAGTATAAAAAGATGTAACTTGTGATATGAGTAACATAAAATGGGCTGTTAGAAATGTAAAGGAATAGAATTTTGTTTGCAATTGAAGTTGTCTGTTTAGATTATAATAACTTTAAGATGTCTTACATAATCCCTATAGTAACTACATAAAAATACTGATAGAAGATACACAAAAGGAATGAGAAAAGTGTCAAAGCATGTCACCCACCACAAAAAAAAAGTCAAAACAAAAAGAAGACAGTAAGAGAAGACAAAAAGGACAAAATGCTGTAAGAGTATATAGACAACAGTTAACAAAATGGCCTTAAGTCTTTTCCTATCAGTAATTACTTCAAATGTAAATGGATTAAACTCTCCAATCAAAAGAAATAGATCGGCTCAATGGATTAAAAAAACCAAAATCCAACTGTATGTTATCTACAAGAATCTTTAGATCTAAAGACACATATGGACTAAAAGTGAAAGGACTGAAAAAGATATTCCATGCAAATTGTAACCAAAAGAGGGCAGAGATGGCCATACTTGTATCCAGTAAAATAGGCTTTAAGTCAAAAAATGTCATAAGAGATGAAAAACATTATATAATGAGAAACATTAGGGTCAGTTCACCTAACATCATAGCTCCCAGATATATGAAGCAAATATTAACAGATTGAGGGAACACAATATTAGGAGACTTCAATACCCCACTTTTAGTAGGTTAGGAAACCAGACAAGATCAAAATGAAAAACAGAGGACTTAACAACAATACAGATCAATTGAACCTAACAGACACACAGAACATACCATCCAGTAACAGAATATGCATTCTTCTCAAGTGCACATGGGTCATTCTCCAGGATAAACTACATGTAGACCACAATAAGTCTTCAATTTAAAAAGATTGACATTATACCAAGTATCCTTCAAACACAGTGGAATGAAACTAGAAATCAACAGCATAAGGAAAACTGGAAAACCCACAAATACGTGAGTCTTAACACACTGTTAAAACGGCCAGTGGGTGAAAGAAACAAAGCACCAGGGAAATTAGAAAATATCTTGAGAAAATGAAAAATAAAATACAACATCCCAAGATGTATGGGATGCAGTTAAAGCAGTATTAAGAAAGAGGTGTATAGTGGTAAACACTTACATTAAACAAGAAGAAAGATCTCAAGTCAGCAACCTGACTTTACATCTCAAGGAACTAGAAGAAGACCAAACTAAATCACAAGTTAGCAAAAAAAGGAAATAATAAAGATTAGAATAGAAATAAATAAAATAGAGAATAGAAAAACAATAGGAAAAAAATCAAAGAAACTAACAGTTGGTTTTTGAAAATACAAACAAAATTGACAAACCCTTGGCTGGATTGAACCAAGAAGAAAAGAGAAGATTCAAATAAAATCAGAAATATAAGAGGAGTCATTACAACAGATGCCACAGAAATAAATGGATTATAAGAGAATACTATGAACAATTATACTCTAACAATTAGATAACCTAGAAGAAATTGATAAATTCCTACAAATAGACAAAATACCAAACTGAATCATAAAGAAATAAAAATCTGTATAGACCTGTAACTAGTGACTAGGAGACTGCAACAGTAATCAAAACCTCCCGACTAGAAAAGCCCAGGACCATATGGCTTCACTGGAGAATTCTACCAAACATTTATAGAAGAATCAACACCAATTATCTTCAAAAATTTCCCCTAAATGGAAAAGAACACTTCCAAACTTATTTTATGAGGCTAGCATTACCCTGATACCAAAGCCAAAGGTACCACAAGAAAACTATAGACCAATATTCCTAATGAACATAGATGCAGAAATTCTCAACAAAATGCTAGCAAACCAAATTCAACTGCGTATCAAAAGGATTATACATGATGATCAAGTAGGATTTTTTTCCTGGAATGCAAGAATGGGTCAACATATGAAAACCAATCAATGTAGTGTATATACCACTTTAATAGAATGAACAAACTCCACAGGATCATCTCAGTTGACACAGAAAAAGCGTTTGCAAAATTCAACACCCTTTTGTGATTAAAAAAAAAAAGAACACTCAACAACTTGGAATAGAAAGAAACCACCCCATCATAATAGAAGCCATATATAAAAAGCCCATAGCTAACATACTCAGTGGTGAAACATTGAAAGCTTCTCCTCCAGGATCAGCAAACAAGGTAAGGATGCCCATTTTCACCACTTCTGTTCAACATAGTACTGGAAGTTGGAGCCAGAGCAATTAGGCAAGAAAAAGAAATGCCAGGCATCCAAATCAGAAAGGAAGAGGTGAAGTTGTCTCTAAATGCAGATGACACGCTTTTATATATAGATAACCCTAAAGACTTTATCAAAAAACCTGTTAGAACTAATCAATTCAGTGAAGTTGCAGAATACAAAATCAGCATATAGAGATCAATGTGTTTCTATATACTAAAAATGAGTTGTCTGGATAGAAATCAAGAAACCAATCCCATTTACAGTGGGTTTTTTTTGTAAAATAAAATATTTGGGAATATACCAAACCAAGGTGGCAAAAGACTTGTACACTGAAAACTGTAAAACATTGCTGAAAGATACTGAGGAAGACACAGATGAATGGAAGGACATCTTGTGTTTATGAATTGAAAGACTTAATGATGTTAAAATTACATACTGCACAAAGCTATCTACAAATTCAATACAATTCCTAT